GGTGACACTTAAGCCCGGTTCAGACCGAAACAATCTGAGCTCAACTCAAGCCGGCTGATGGTGTCACCTGCAACAGTCCATCTGATGCTGTTTTTGTTTCATCACTGTAGCCAGTGGTCGAGTCTGAAATCAAATAGCAAATTCGTTAAATCTGAACTGAATAAATATGAAACTAAATGGGTAGTTGATGTGAAATAGGTTACACACCTTCACAAAGTAATGCTCTCATCACTTAGATGGATCACATCCGCGGCATCCTCCTCCTCCGGTGGTGGGTCGACACTGCCACTTTCCACACCGACCAAGCCGGTAAAAGCAGGGGAATCCTCCCCAAACATATCAACAATAATGTCACTATATATTGATGTTTTAGGGGGAGGACCCCCGCCGGTTACAGGAATTTTTTTTTGCAGAAACATCTTTCTTCGCCTTACTCAGAAGGTCTTTCCACTTTTTTCTCACATCGCTCTCTGAACGCAGGCTGCCAGAGTCGGAACAGTCATTAACGACCTCAGTGATCTCTCTCCAGATGGACTGCTTCCTTTTGTTTGTGACAGCGTTTGACTGCTTAGCTGTCAGCGTGTCTCTGTGCTGACTGTACAGCTCTATTAATTTTCTTATTTCACTATCTGTGAAATTGCCCTTCCTTTTGCGCTGATCCTCCATAATGATGCAGCAAAATGTGAAGTGATAACGGAAGAAAGTTAACAATGTATCTTAGCAACGCTCGATGCTAGGCAATAAACATAGTCACGTTCGCTTTCTCATGAACGCGCATCACCAAGACTGGGCGTAGTTAAGACCAGGCGTAAGCCCAGTTGGCGCAACTGACTTTAAGTCCATTCTAAAGACTATCTTAACTAAGACCGACTTAGCAGTTAGGACCAGGCTTAGTAAAGACCAGTTGGTGCAACCGGCCCCAGAAGCACAGAGAGTTGTTGACTAGAGATGACACGCCGTCTCATGGCGGTCACTTCCTGTCAACGTTACAGATCAGAAGTACAGAGAGTTGTTGACTAGAGATGATACGCCGTCTCATGGAGGTCACTTCCTGTCAACGTTACAGATCAGAAGTACAGAGAGTTGTTGACTAGAGATGATACGCCGTCTCATGGCGGTCACTTCCTGTCAACGTTACAGATCAGAAGTACAGAGAGTTGTTGACTAGAGATGATACGCCGTCTCATGGTGGTCACTTCCTGTCAACCAGCAGCTTTTTACAGCGATGCAGAACTGGGCTTAAGAGCACCCTGGGAAATGTATTTGTATTTGGTATATTTTCTGTGTCAGAACTTAGAACACTACTAAAGAATAAAGCTCATCTGGATGTAACAAGAAAACAAACATTTTGTGGGTTCATAAAATCAGTCTCCCATTATTCATCTATGGAGCAGCTCCGGACTTTATACCCTATGACATCACAAGTTTAAGGCTTTCTTCTCTGGTTTCTGGTTTTGAGAGAGAGCAGCTCATGTTCACTAATATTGGTTGAACTTTCCTCGACCATGAAAATAACATATTATTCTTATTTTAGGTGGTGTTCCCCTTTAAACTAGTGCTGGTGTTTTTGTCCTGCAGGTGGAGACAACAGATGGGTCATTTTGGAGCACTCTGAGCATTTGTGTTGAAATATGTTGTATAAGAACAGAAGAACTGTTGCATTTGGTAACACTAAAGACAAGTTGGCAACATGTGACTTTGGTAATACGCTCTCCACTCTCCCCTGCCTATTTTAACTCAAACTAATTCCTCTATATGGCTGTGTCCCATCAAGGCAGAGTGTAAGCGTGTCTCAAATCACATACTTCTGTTAGTATACTTCTATGTAGTATACTATGTGCACTATGTACTCATTGGTGTAATGCGCACATTTCGACAGGGTAGTGTTGTCTCAAACCAAACACGGCCGCTGTGCACTCAAATGCAAATGAAATGACTACCGCAAATTAGCTAGTTAGCAAACTAGCATTAGCATTCGCGTTATTGTTTACAGTACCAAATCATTACAGACTGGCCGCCATTTCCAGTTTGAAAAGTGGTCCCTCCCCTTCGAAGAAGCGTCCATAGTTCCACACTCAACTTCTTGACCGTTTTGAGTGCACCATCCGGGTACTCATAGTGCACTGCATTTTTCCATACTTCTCAGTGTGAACGCACTTATGCACTCAAAATTAAGTGGATGTATATATACATCCAATGGAGCAGCAGTCATCACAGGCCAAGCCGAGACATCACTCGGCCAGAATCAGCAGAAATTTTGTTTCTTCTTTTGTTCTGTTTTTTTCGCTGTTGGAAACAAAAGCGCGTCATTGCTTCATATTCATCTGTTAACTACTGAAAAGACATGCAACAGATAGTTCTTAACTACATGTTTAAGCAGAAAAGATAACACCAAAATTAGGAAGTTAAATATTCTCAAAATGCTGATTCACTGAGACAGAAACCAAATTCAGACACGTCTGTGTTTCAGCTGATGCTTTCAGTGATGCTCAGCCGGTAGGAGCTCAGTGTGTTTGTTAGAGACACTTCAGCAGGACACATGGATGTGGACGGACACGCTGTCTGCTTCACTGTGAGTCTCTGTGAATCAGAAACCCTCCAGCAGGTGTTTTCCACACCTGACTCTGTCTCGGCTTCTGTCTCTTTACTTTTCCTCTTCTTATCAGCTGTGTTGCACAACAGAAACCTGCAGGCTCTGGGACATTAGCAGCGGAGAGAAGTCGAATTAGTGAGTAATGTTCAGGATCTTTACTGTCATGTGAACTGGCTTCAAACGATGCTCAAGTGTGTGATCAGTATTTTGTGTTTCAGACATAAGAAAGTTTCCATACGGGGATGAATTGGATTTTAGTGTCGCTCAGAAATGCTGAAAATGTTATCTGATGTGCTCAATGTTTGAGCAGTCTGGATGACTATACCCACTAAAATGTGACTGACTTAGAAGTAAAAGGCAAAAGCTGGATATTTCTCTTCCTTCATGCTGGTGTCACATTTTTTGGGTGGATATCTCATTATGAAATGAAACCATGTGAAAGCACCAGATGTGAATTTTTGCCCTCTGACATCTCGAGTTGTCTCATATCTGAATGTGTTTTAGTGCTAACATGTGGAGCTCACAGAACATGTATCCCAGCAGCTGGTTTAAATCTTGCTGACTGAAGCTGAAGTCTTGCCCCAACATTAACAAAGAGGAAGTTGAAACACACAGCGGACGGCCGTGGCTTCCTCCTGAGCAGAGAGACTCCATCTTGAGCTGTTAACATAATTTAGACCAGCAGAGATGATGACCTACGATTGTTTCATTGTATTGTTTCTATTAATTTTCCTTAGAAATTGCAGATATGCGTTCAATAATAACAAGAAGGAAAAAGTGACGAGGACACAGTGACAAAGTATATTAGCAAGATAAAGACATATTGTGAAGGTCAGACAACATAAAACAGACTACAAGGATCAATAAAACCACATGGGCAAAACAATAAGAGCCAGATTTATTGATGAGGGCATTTTTGTAAAATGTTTCCATGTGTTTATTGTACACATGCACAACACTTTTTGGTTTAAAAGGGAACTTTTTATAAATCTAGAATCACCGCTGCCCATGGATGTGTGACTCCGCCCACCAGTCCAGTGTCTCTGACAGACTCCATCCATGTCAGTGAAAACATGGATGCTTCACACACAGAAGATCTATACAATCAGCACAGTGTCAAGATTAGAGTCACCAATTCAGTATCTGACCAAATGTCTCCCCTTCTGTTCCTGAGATATGATGTTAAAACATGATAATGTCACAGTCAAGCTGACCCTTGACTGTGACATCATTCATCATTCATTATTTTATCCTGTTAGATATTAATGTAAAGTTTAATTAGTGTAATTAGTGTGTGGATTCTTGAGTCATGGCCCAAAACATATCTTGTGAGGTCACACTGACCTTCAACCACAAAATACTAATGAGTTTATTCTTCAGTCCAAGGGAACGTTTGTGTCAAATTTCAAGAAATTCCCTTTAGCTCAGTGGTTCCCAACTGGTCCGGCCACGAGGTCCATATTTCTCCTTAGTCATTAGTTCAAGGTCCACACAGTTTAATGCATTCAGCATCATACTTGAGTTTGTCCATGTCTTCAGCTAGTTTGCTGTCTCTGTCAAGTAGCTGTCCATTAGTCACTCACTTTACAGGAAACGGCACTTCAAAATAAAAGCTCTGTGCCGGAAATTCATTGCACTTAGAGATTAAATGTGTTTTGTCAAACTTGACACAATTGTGAGTCACTTGCAGTCCTCTCAGGATGAACCTGCGACCCACTTATGGACCACGACCCACCAGTTGGGAACAATTGCTTCAGCTGTACTTGAGATATTGTGTTCATCAGAATGAAATAGATAGATGGTCACAGTGACCTTGACCTTTGACTCTTGAACACCAAAATCTAATGAGTTCATCCTCGAGTCCATTCGCACAACATTAAAAAAAAAATCCCTCAAAGCGTTCTTGAGATATGACGCTCATAAGAATGGGACATACATATGTACGGACAAACAACCCTAAAAACATAATGCCTCTGGCCACAGCTGTTGCCAGCGCAGAGACATGATAAATGTCACATGACATGGTTTTTACTTGTGTGGTGACAGATCGTTGATTAAAGGGAAACTTCACTGATCTTTGTATATTTATCGAATAGAAACAATTAAACATCCAAAATTAGCTGACAGATGAACTAATACAGAAAAAATAATCCAGCCTTAGTTTTTACTCTTCATGAGTCTTCGTTGTGCATTAATGACCCTCTGTGTGTCTAACATGTAATTAAACTCAATAAGGAACCAGATCAGACTCTGCAGATGAACCAAGAACAAACAACGCTCTTCCTTTTTCTTCAGAACCTGAACTCAACTGTGGATATGTCATCAAACACATGGTGCAACTGTTTTTGGTCTTGTACCTCCAGGCTGGCGTGGGAAAGGAACCAGCCGCTGACACACCTCCCTCACCTTAAGCAAGGTTTGAACACGTGAGCTGACACACTCCATAAAAGCCTGCGTTCGGCCCCGCAGGGTTCACACTGTTGGTCACGATGAGGGTCCTGCTCGCACTCACCGCGCTGTTCGTGGCCGTTCTCGGCAAGGAGACATTTGAGGGGTAAGTGGGCCTGAAAGAGCCTCTCACTGCTGTGTAGGGTGGAGGTCATCTGGATATATGTGTGCAAGAATTATGAATCAATATGTAGTGCCAATAATAGCACCTTTATTTAAACTAAATGCATCCAGATGATTCCTGTCAATATGAACTGCTCCAAGTGGTAACTTACATTTAACTTATAATAAATGCAATAGCTTTTATTTTTGTGAGGATGTTTATTAGACCGTGCAGCATCAGAAAAATGTAAGGGGTGGGTTTGGTTTCAACACATGAGATGGAGGGTTAATTTCCAGCAATCAGGTGTTTATGCACCAATTTGTGTCTTTTCTTCATCAATTTATAATTTAAATGTCTCTAATTCAAACTTAAAGGTCTAACAAATGCACAAATGCCCCCCCCCCCCCTAAAAAAATCTTTACCCTTGGCATGTATGATGCAAATTTTGAGTGTCAACCTTGAGAAATCTGTCCTCACCTCATGTGTGCCAACTTCTCTGTTGGTCTGGGGTCTTGAGTCAAAGGATGTTTTAACATTGTGGTCGTGGTTTCGCAGGCATCAGGTGCTTCGCATTGTTGCAAAGGATGAGGGCCAGCTGTCTCTCATTAAGGCCCTGGAGGACATGAGCGAGTTCGAGGTCATTTATCTTTCACTTACCATCATTCTAAATTCATTCTAAAATAAAAATGTAAGAGGAAAAATGTAAGAGCAAAGCATTAAATGAGTGACAAATCTCTAAAGATGTCAGTGTTTTCTTTCAGCTGGACTTCTGGAGGGGAGTTACCGATGTGTCCACCCCTGTGGATATCAGAGTTCCTTTCCACAGCCTGCAGTCCGTCAAAATCCACCTGGAGGGTCAGGACATCGAGTACTCCGTCATGATCGAGGACCTTCAGGTATGAGACCTGCAAACAGATTCAGATTCTCAAGTCCAGGCTACAACAGGAACAAAACTGAATCTGCTGCAGTTGGTTTTGAGTTTTACAGAAGTTTGAAGCAGATTTCTGGGATAATCTGAGTAATGCATATTTAGAAATAAATTTATTGACCTCTAACTAAAGTATATATTTTATTGTCCTGCAGGCAATGCTGGATAAGGAGCAGGAGGAGATGGTGTCTGCTGCTCGTCGTCCTGAGCCCAGAAACTCAGACAGCTTTGACTTCGCCAACTACCACCCCATCAACGAGGTTGGTGCACAGTCACAGTGCTATCCAGTAAAAGCGTTAATAACACGTGCGACTATTGTTATAAATTGTTTCTTCTTAATTGTTTGTTCTAATGTAACAAAAAAAGTAATCAGGTCCTTCTGGGGGATCCCAAACCTTTATCAAGATGGATGAGGTATATAATCCCTCCAGCAAATTTCAGGTCTATCCCGAAATCCTCCGAAGAAGAGCGCCCAGGAGTCATCCCGATCAGATACCTGAACCACCTCCACCTCAACTGGCTCGTTGCAGTGACTCTACTCCAAGTTCTCTCTGGATGTCTACACTCCTCACCCTGTCTCCAAGGTCGAGTCCAGCCACCCTGTGGGAAAAAAAAAATTCTGCTTGAATGTGTGATCTTATTGTCTCAGTCTCTACCCGAAGCTCATAACCACAGTCGAGGGTTGAAATGCAGATTGACCGGCTCAACTCTGTCTTCACCAAACAAGTCTGGTACAACATCTGCTGATGTGCCAGTCCACCCTTCGATCTCTCGTTTCATTTACAAATATCGTCACATTGGTCACCGACGTGGAGGACTCCAGCCATGAAACTTTGCAGCCCGAGGATGAGGTGGCAGCCTACATGGAGTTCAAGACACATGTTTTCACCATCAAGTCAAAGAGACGTCTCCACCGCTGGATTTTGAATTCAGCAATTCAATATTTTCTGGCAGAGATCCATGGCCTCAGACTCTGAGATGCTGACTCTCATCCCAACCTCCTCACATTCAACTGCAAACCACCCCAGTGTGTGCTGAAGGTCATGTTCGGATGAAACCAACAGAATCACATCATCTGCAAACAGCAGAGAAATCCCCAAATTGGACACTCTCCTCATCTAGGCTGCATCTGAGATCCTGTCCACCAGCAGAATCTGTGACGAGTGACAACCCTGGCTGAGCCCAATATCCACTGACAGCACAGAAACAGCTCTCACTCTGGTTACATAAGAACCGGATGGCTCGTGACAGTGGCCTCTGATGATGAGATAATGTTCTTATGTTGAAGCCTAAAATATGTCACTTCTACAACAAGTTTAAACTCACTTGAGATCAGACAGTGCTATACAGAATTATTTCATAAACCTACAGACCAGAAATTTGTCTTTTTGTCTTTGGTTTAGATCTACGCCTTCCAGGACATGCTGGTGGCTGAGAATCCCAACCTGGTCAGCAAGATTGTAATCGGTCAGAGCTACCAGGGTCGTGACCTGAATGTGCTCAAGGTAAGTAAAACAGGCTGTCAAGCAAATGAAGGGTCCTAAACAATGATGAATGGCACGTTCTTGCCAAAAGGAAGAGATTTCTTTGTGCTGGACATAATGTGATGTCAAATAATCTTCAATAATCACAAGGAAAATCATAATCTGAACCATGTCTGGTCACTTCTCTTTTACTCTTTGTTTGACTGCTCCTTTCCTTTCCTTCGTCTTAGTTCAGCACTGGTGGAACCAACCGTCCCGCCATCTGGATCGACACTGGTATCCACTCCAGAGAATGGGTCACTCAGGCCAGCGGCACCTGGTTCGCCAAGAAGGTGCTTTGATAATTCTCACTTTGTTTTGGGTTTTTCTTCATGGTCTCTGGAGCCTCTGACCTCTAACCTGCTGCACTTCACATCATGTTCTTTACATATCTGTGAGTAGATTGTGACCGAGTATGGACGTGACCCCGCTCTCACCGCCATCCTCAACAAGATGGACATCTTCCTGGAGATTGTGACCAACCCTGATGGCTACTACTACACTCACAATAGCGTGAGTCTCTTAGAGCTTGATTATTTTTCACATCCTGCCATATTCAGTGTTTGATTGACAATATTCAGTCATAGTCTTTTTATTTCTTGACCTTGTTTTCATGACTCTGGCAATGAGATCATGTGAATATGAGCATGGCGTAAGTTTCCCATTTCCAGTTTTAGGGACATGCATACAAAGACTTGTCCTGACTTCTATATGCAGTGATATGCTTTGGACATTGATGAGGTCATGGTTTATGCAGGTGATACTAGAACCTTTCAGTTTTAAATGTAACATCTTCAGAGTCAAGACAAATAACAGTCGGAACTATTGGTGCAAATTAGCACAACCTGACAGGATGATAGAACCCAGCTTATATCTCGGTGTGTCTGTCTCAATTAAAAAAACAAAGACAAATAAATTGAGAACTACATGAACACAAGCAAAGGTGAAAATTAAATCAAAATAATAAATAAAAGTGAAAACTTGTGACTCTGATGTTTTCAGAACCGTATGTGGCGTAAGACCAGGAAGCCCAACTCCGGCTCTAACTGTGTGGGAGTCGACCCCAACAGGAACTGGGATGCTGGTTTTGGAGGTAACATCATTCTAAAAAAACTTATTTTTTAAAACTCCAAACCTACCATGTATAGTAATTATCAGTGAGGGTTTTATTTTGTTTTAAAACCATCAATGATTGTATCAATTTTTTCTGACATGCATTAAAAGATTATTACGTGTAGTATTATCAGACCAGTTGCCAGAATAAATGTAAATTTCTGTAAACCATGGAGATGTTACATTTGTACATTATTATGCAGTGGATATGCTGAAACTTTAAGTTTCCACAATGTGTAGGTTAACGTAGGTTTAGGCACAAAAAACACTTTGTTATGATTAGAAAAAGATCACGTCTTCGTTTAAAATATCTGCTTTTGTGTCATGTCTCTGGAAAAAACAAACGTGGGACTGTTCGCTAAAAAACTGTCACGTTTGGTGGTTAAAAAGCTGCTGGAAGCGCAATGGTGATGCGCTACTAAACAACTGGTTTTATTTATTCTTCTTGAACAGTGGATTGCCCCCTCTGGGTTGGGAGAGAGTTACTGCCCCAACTGAAGGAGGTCAAGTATCTCAGGGTCTTGTTCACGAGTGAGGGTAGAATAGAGCATGAGATAGATTGGCTGTGCCGGACTGTTGTGGTGAAAAGGGAGCTAGGATGGAAGGCAGAGCTTTTGATTTACCTACGTCCCATCTACGTCCCAACCCTCATCTATGGTCATGAGCTCTGGGTAGTAACCAAAAGAATGAGATCACAGATACAAGTGGCCGAAATGAGTTTCCTCTGTGGGGTGTCTGGGCTCAGCCTTAGAGATAGGGGGAGGAGCTCGGAGTAGAGCCGCTGCTCCTTTACGTCAAAAGGGGTCAGTTGAGGTGGTTCAACATCTGATCAGGATCCTCCTGGGCGCCTCCTGTTAGAGGTGTTCCGGGCACATCCAACTGGTAAGAGGCCCCGAGGCAAACCCAGAACACACTGGAGGGATTATATATCTCATCTGGTCTGGGAACATCTCAAGGTCCTCCAGGAGGAGCTGGAAAGTGTTGCTGGGTAGAGGGATGTCTGGAATTCTTTGCTTAGCCTATTTCCCTCCGCAATCCCACCCCGGATAAGCAGTTGAAAATGGATGGATGGATGGATTTCATGCCGTCCACCTCCCAATGACAAAGTCAGTCCAGAGGTAACTTAAAAAAACAATCATATGATACATATGAAACATACAATATTTGCTTTTGCAAAAACGTACAATGGCAACATTTTCTTGTGGTGACTGGGCTGAGAAGTCATGCATTGCTAACTGCTGGTGTCATGCTTGATTCTACCACCAGATGGTGCAAAAGTACCTTTTGTTTATTTCGACACTCTATATATGGGAGGGTCTACACTATTTATACAGTTAATGGTCTACACACAGGACGGTCTTTTTCCAGAGAGCTCTGGCCTAGGTGGCAGCACAATTACACAGATTTGTCCCAAACTTCTCTCCAACATGCAGAAAACACAGCACACATTACATCAAGTATAAGACACATATATTTTGACATGTTTTGCCCCTTTGCACTTTATGGAAACACTTGCACCATGAGTATTGGTTTCTAAGGAACCGAGTGTTCAGAGGGTATTTATAGACAGTTTCTCTGACTCTGTCATCATCCCTGTGTAGGACCTGGTGCCAGCGGCAACCCCTGCTCAGAGACCTACCGTGGTCCCAGGGCTCACTCTGAGTCTGAGGTCAAGTCCATTGTGGACTTTGTGAAGTCCCACCGCAACTTCAAGGCCTTCATCTCCATCCACTCCTACTCCCAGATGCTCCTGTACCCCTACGGCTACACCAGGACTCCAGTCAAGGACCAGGCCGAGCTGGTAAACATAACACTCCTTACCTTTATGACCTCTTTACACAGAACGTTTTATTATTCATAAACTTCAAACTGGGGAAACAGATCAGCGTATCAGTTGTAGTTTTGCCTGAAAGGTTAGAAAATGTGAGAAACTGCAATATCGGAAACAACACACATATATGTGATCATGTTCCCCTAACAGCACAGTCTGGCTAAGAAGGCCATCACTGACCTGGCCTCCCTGTACGGTACTCGCTACAGATATGGCAGCATCATCAACACCATCTGTAAGTCACAGTTATTTGATGCTTTTACTTGTAATATAAACCACACCCACTAGAAATCAAAGACAGTTCTGTTGAGAAAGACAAATTGTACATAAAGAAATCAAATGTTCACAACTAATGCTGTAACACCTTCACTATGGCTGCCATCTTCATATAAAAATACATGTTTCAATCGTAGACCAAGCCAGCGGTGGCACCATTGACTGGACCTACAACCAGGGCATCAAGTACTCCTACACCTTTGAGCTGAGGGACACTGGCCGATACGGCTTCGTCCTGCCAGCCAATCAGATCATCCCCACCGCCAAGGAGACCTGGCTGGCTCTGATGGCCATCATGGACCATACCTTCAAGAACCCTTATTAAAGTGTGTGTGCGTGTGTGTAGAGGTGGAAATCCCTGTTGTTGGCAAATGTACCTTTAAGACTAATGTCATCATCATAACCATCATCATCGTACGCCATGACTCTTCAGACATCGTGAAAACCACAGACAAATAAAAGCAGACTGGAAAACTGCTGTTTCTCTTTCTTTATGATTTCAGTGCCTTTAATTGCGCACACACATTTCTGCACATATAATATGTTTGTGTTCACACCTCTGTCTGCATTATTTCTACATCCTTTGAATCTCTCATTACTACCATCATCAATCAGTTTTTTATCTGCTTTTTAGAGACATTTTAAACCATTAATTATTAAAGGTATACTGTGCAGGATTTTCTTTAAAAACAATGTTAAGACTCACACAGAAGTAATTCATCTCAATCGTCACTAATGACCAGGCCAGAACAAAATGTAGGGATTTTTCTTTATTGTTTTAGCAGTGATCCAAAATGAATATGAAAATCTGCAGAATGTAATGACTCCAAAATAACAACATACAGTATCACAAGTGTGTCACAGGGGCTGTGATAAACACTGATCCTAATGTTCTGATTGCATTATTAGGGTCCGGGCAGCTCTTCTTCTTCTTATTCCGAGGAAATCATACTTCCCATGGGTGAAAACTAACCAAACTTTGCACAAAGGTCCAGTCTCATGCCAGATATCCTCAGCTGTAAACTAAAGCCAATAGTCCAGATGGTGGCGCTACAGCAAGCGTCTAAAGTTCAAAACTTTGAAAATTCATAACAAATCAACCATACGTGCTACAACTTCACAACTGCCCCAATACTGAAGAAAACGTTTGTACATTTAAACCTATTAAAAATTATCAAGTTCATCACTCTGTTTTTTTTTCAAAAACGGTAAAACTTCATAAACCTATCTCCTCCCACAATTTTTGCTCAATTGACACCAATCTTGCTACAGAGCATCTTCAGACTGTCCTACACAAACTACGTTTCTCAGATTTTTGATTTATCAAAAATTGAGCGCTGTAAACGGTACTATAAACATATACATGCAAATTCTTGCTAAATAAATCTTCAGTGTTCATGAAAAAATGACAATTCTAGAGTCATGGTAGATGATGTGTGGCAAATTTCAGAGTTTTATCTCAAAAACTGAATTTTTGACAGCATTTTGAATTTTGCTCTAATGTGAACAATTGGAGTCAATGTAAAAATTGCAATTTTAAACATCAGTTTTTCACTTATGGAGCAAATCAATCATTGTTACAAACAAATTACCAACATCTCCATGCTGTCTAGATGCAATATGTGTATTTTCAGATTTTTGTCTTAATAACTGAATTTATTTACAGTGGTTTCAAATCTGCCTTTCCATGCACGGATGGCTGCTTTCCTACACAACAGTGAATGGCTTACTCAGTTTGTGAAGCCACTGTTGAGTTGCTACTTGCCAATTAGCTCAGAGCAGTAGATGACAGTCTTAAGTTCCAGAGGTTGCTCAGAATTGCCTAAAAATGCCCGGACCCGACCAATCGCTGTGCAGCAGCTATAATAAATTCTTAAATTCTCTATGGTCGAGTGTTCTTTATGAGTTTTGCCTAATAATAGATTTAAAAAATACCACAGTTAGCCAGCTTCTTGCCCATAAACGGCCCGAACAAACAGCCCTGAATTCTTTTTCACTACAAGATGAAATAGTTGTTTGTCTCATGTCCCCTATTAAAAATAGCTTGTATACTCCTGGTGTGGGAGAACTACAGCTGCCGAGGTGAAAACGCAAATGTCCTTATCTAGAGCCACTGTTTATTTTGTCTGATCTGGGCTACTGTAGAGCAACATGATGGAGTCTGTTGAAGAGGACCTGATCCGTACGTAGACATAAATGCCTTATTGAAAGGTAATGAAAACATAACGATTCTTATTTTCAGGTGATTACACTTTAAAGAAAAAATACTTATTATATTATATTCCATTTCTGACAATATATCCCTCTAAATCCTACACACTAAACCTTCAAGAGTTAATGAGCAAAGTAATAATTTATTTGTTGTCAACATATCACAGCTGTCTTATTAAGACCAGGACACAATTCTGATAGAGCAAACAATTATACACTTTATTTAACATTCATTTACAAACACAATCATGTGATCACATCATTCATGTGAGTAAATCGATGGTGAAGACATCATTCGGTCCATATTTTTATTAAATGCACTTCATAGGAGACTGTGAGTGTGTGAGTGAATCCAGAACGATGCAATGAGTCACTGCAACCAAACAAAAGGCCACACATCAGAAATACTGTCTTTAAATGCATCGGTGGGCCCTGAAGTGCTGCTTGTATTTTGGCTACAGCCATGTTTCCTCTCTTTGACCTTTGACATGGCGAAGGCCTCGATGAGTCAGTTAGTGTGATGACAGCATACAGTACTTTAATCCACACACACACACACAAAGAAAACCAGTAACATAACAGCATAAGTGAATGAAAAGGCCTCACATACAGGCTGTTTATCTACCGTCAGTTTAGGAATCACATTAAGACATCATGGGGAAAATTACAAAAATACAGCACAGCTTTTCTCAGGCTCTGTAACAATATTTATAGAAATTCCATCTCATGTAATACACAGATTCACAGCACATCCTTCATATCATCTTAACATTCTGCAGTGGAAAACTCGGGTTAGGAATGCCATTTATTTAACAGCTCATACTGACGGAGCTAACGTGACCTTTTTTGGACATAATAATATTCAAAAAGAATGAAATGATTATCTGCTCAGGGTCATTCGCTGGTGAAAAATAAGCATGAGAGTAGCGTCACAAAGTTAATTTGAGTGCAAAAAGATCCATTAGATTTCAGGTTCACAGACGAGGCACTGTGCAAACATTCAAATACACACCATTTATTAAATATTACAAGAAAATGAAAAACATGGAGGGGAAAATACTTCAGTCTGACAGAAAGCTCCAGAATTTCTTTGTTCTTTTCCTACAGATTTTTTGTCTTCAATTTGATACTGTTGTTCATTAAGGCCTAATTAGAGTTTTATTTTTTGGTCGTTGGTTTTAAAATTTGACAAGAATTTATTTTCAATATCTGTGTCAGAGAAAATTCTGGATTAAAAGTTGCTGTGATACAGTATCTGTGCTGTTTCCTGCCTGTCTCTGGGAGGATTACTTTTCAGACTGCGACAGTTATGGATCCTGAAATAAATGGACGTTGTGTTGGAGGTATGTTTGTTTGTGTGTATCTGTGTGGTTGGGGGGGAACAGGAGGTGGAGGTGGTGTTATTTCCAGGGTCTACTGCTGTGAACTCTGGCGCTGTCCCTGCCAGCTGTAGAGGAACTCTGTCGACTCCGAGCGCTGGACGCTTTAGACTGAGAGCTGCTGGTCGACATGCGGCTGGACATGCGGCCTGCAGTGAACACACATGCAAACAAAACTGAAGGTTAGCAGAGTGATGAGACATTTGTAAGTCTAACTTCCTGCGGGTGAAAGGTTAGATTATGATCTTAAATTCTGATTCATGACTTCAATCTGCTTGATAACAGAATTTCATGGAGGGGATGGAGCAAAACATCGGGGATGAATCAGGAGGAATGGTCGCATTCTGAACCATCCCAGGCCTGTTTTGTGATCGGGACGATAAGACTGGTCTGTAACGCTACATTTTACGGGTCCTTCAATTTCCTGGATATGATGGACATGATATACAACTTCAAATTCATGGAAAATGGAGAATGTGCTCAGCTGATACTGTTCCAATCAGCTGAACCCAGCGTATTGTGAGCGTGACCTCCAGTCTTTGTCCACAGCAGGTCAGTGCAAACACATAATCTCTTACCATGTGGAGAATACATTTTCCAGTAATGCAAAAATAATGACTTTACTTTGGTTTAAATGAAGCTTTTTAGTTTTTAAAGAAAATCCTTTGTAAATCAACAACTGCTTATAAACTCAAACCAACTGACACTGAAACAAATAAATAACTGCTGCAGAACTTTGGCTCTATTTTCCTTATCGCCAAGTTCTTCCCTGGGAAAAGCCTAAAGGCCACAGTTTTTTTTTCTCAGCACCAGCGTCTTTTCTCAATTGTTCCCAATAAGGAGAGCGGCAACAGAAAAAAGCACCACGTTCAGTGTCTTTATTCAGGGCACTCTGCCTGCCACTCTGCTGTCACAACAAAGACAGTAAATCTAATTTGTGGGAACAGACCAGCCGGATGTTGCTGCTGAGTTTTGTGCTTTTATCACTGTTAACCTTGTAAGCTTGTTGTTAACTGTGTAGTCATCCCTCTGTCGATGTAACATTACATTAGCTCCCTAACTAACTTCAATGTCAAGATATTTTTGTAATAGATACAAAACGCACGTGTGGCACATCTTTAAAGATGCGCTGCAGGAGCTTTTTTACGAGGCACTGGGATGAAACACCCTGCCACTGCTTTACTGCTGAAGAAAAATGCTCTGTGAACACACACTCAACCATATTCTAACTAGTTTTTAGTCACACTCAAAGATTTTACAGTCTGGAGATCCTGCAGGGTCACTATTTACAGACCATAACAAGAATTCCTTCTGAGATCACTTCCCATCCTGCTCCTGGTGGAAAATACTTCACCAAACTCCCTTTAAGAAATATAACGTTTAAACAATTCCTTACATGTCTGCAAAAACACAAAACTCTAGAAACACAAGATAGATAAATGCCAACTCTTGTTCACTCCACAACTCCACCAGTTTCTCCTCCTTTTCCACAGAATAAGAGAACTCAGACTTCCCTCCCTGGAGTTTCCTCCATGTTTATCATCTACCTGGTTTGCGGCTTCCTGTTTGGTGCTGGAGAGAGCGCAGCTATTGGTTGTTGACAATGTTTGTCACTGAACTTCACTATCAGCATGAGCCAAAACTAGAATAATAACAAACATGTTTGATTTTGTTGGAACATCAAGACGAGGAAAAGTCTGACTAAAGACAGCACTGACTGAGTTTTTTACTCTAAATGAGATCAAGGTCACAGGAACATGATTTTATTCCGACATTAGAAGTTTGTCTGCATCAGTACAATGGCTTAGAAAATCATTTGGTGTAAGGCCGGCATGAGTTGAGTTTCTGACAGTGTGGTCTTACTGTTGGAGTTACTGGGGATGAGG